TTCGAGCTTCTTGAGTTGAAAACGTATCGACGGATTCCTCGCTGTTGTTCGTGAATTATAATAAAATTAATAATGTTGCTTTTTGTGATTTTTTTTTTCACTTGTACCGCCACCGCCGCCGCACAGAGTTCACTCGCTCTCGAACAGAGAGAGACACAGAGGACGACTCAGAGAGAGAGAGAGAGGACGACTCAGAGAGAGACACACAGAGGACGACTCAGAGAGAGAGAGACAGAGGACGACTCAGAGAGAGATGGGGACGACTCAGAGAGAGAGAGAGGACGACTCAGAGAGAGAGAGAGGGGATGACTCAGAGAGAGGACGACTCAGAGAGAGAGAGGACGACTCAGAGAGAGAGAGGACGACTCAGAGAGAGAGAAAGGACGACTCGGAGAGAGAGACAGAGGACGACTCAGAGAGAGAGTGGATGACTCAGACAGAGGACGACTCAGAGAGATACAGAGGACGACTCAGAGAGAGAGGACGACTCAGAGAGAGAGGACGACTAAGAGAGAGAGGGGACGACTCAGAGAGAGAGGGGACGACTCAGAGAGAGAGACAGAGGACTACTCAGAGAGAGACAGAAGACGACTCAGAGAGAGAGGACGACTCAGAGAGAGAGAGGGGACGACTCAGAGAGAGAGGGGACGACTCAGAGAGAGAGAGACAGAGGACGACTCAGAGAGAGACAGAGGACGACTCAGAGAGAGAGGACGACTCAGAGAGAGAGAGGGGACGACTCAGAGAGAGAGGGGACGACTCAGAGAGAGAGAGACAGAGGACGACTCAGAGAGAGACAGAGGACGACTCAGAGAGAGAGAAAGGACGACTCAGAGAGAGAGACAGAGGACGACTCAGAGAGAGAGAGAGGGGACGACTCAGAGAGAGAGAGGACGACTCAGAGAGAGGACGACTCAGAGAGAGAGAGGGGGGACGACGACGACTCAGAAGCACCAGGAGGAGGAACCACCGACGATGAGCGTGAAGGCAGCGGCACTCGCAGCCACAGTTGCCCAAGCTCTGCGGCCCTCTCTCTATATCAAAGTGTTTGCACGTTGCAGGAAACTGCAGCTGCCGGAGAGACGACACACGAATGGACGGAGCAGGTGGAGTCCACCACATTGCTGCTGCTGCTGCCGTGTGCCGCGTTCTCCTGAGCAGCTCATCTTAGACGCCTACGGCAAGGGAGTTTCACAACTTCTCTCTCTCTGTGTGCCCCACCAACCCCCACTGCTGCCTCCACACAGTGCGTAGCCATCACCACCATCACCACCATCACCATCACCACCATCACCATCATCACCACCACCACCATCACCACCACCACCATCACCACCACCATCACCATCACCACCACCACCATCACCACCACCATCACCACCACCACCACCATCACCATCATCACCATCATCACCACCACCACCATCACCACCACCATCACCACCATCACCACCACCACCATCACCCCCATCACCACCACCATCACCCACCATCATCACCACCACCATCACCCCCACCACCACCACCATCACCCCCATCACCACCACCATCACCCACCATCATCACCACCACCATCACCACCAACCGCTGCGCGTTGTAGAATCGAGCACAAATTGTCCGCCGCCAACACGTGACACTTCCTCCACCCCACCCCACGCCCGTGTCGTCGTGTCGTCGTGTTGTCGTGTCGTCGTGTCGCCGTGTCATCGTGTTGTCGTGTCGTCGTGTCGCCGCCACAGACGCGAGCCGCTCCGACCCCGCGACGCACCGACGCACCGTTCGACGACGTCAAGCATTTGACGAGAAAACGAAAGAAATCGACCGGCCGATGCGCGTGGTCACCGTCGAACGCAAAGGCGACATCGTCAGTCAGCTCGACAAAGGGGATGGTTGTGTCGTCTTGTTGTGTAGAGGGGGGGATGGGGGCGAGATGTCTCAAGGCGCGCAAAGTCGTGAGTAGTGATCGTCATTCGGAACGGTCGGGGAGGGGAATTGGAGGTGGAGCGGTGGGGACACGGGAGCTGTGCAGTGCGGTGTGTCTAACGCGGTGTGTACACAGTCACATACTCACACAGTCACACACAATCACAGTCACACACACAGACACACAATCACACACACAGTCACACACACACACAGTCACACACACACAGTCACACACACAGACACACACAGTCACACAGTCACACACACAGTCACACAGACACACACACACACACACAGACACACACAGACACACACACACAGACACACACACACACAAGCGCCTGAACGCAACGCAAATTGAGAATGTTGGAATCTGCGTCATCTACACATACACACGTGACGTGGCTGTCAATTGGGTACGAAGGTGATGATGACTGTGACATCGTGACATAGAGGCGAGTGAATTTGCGTGATAGTGTGCATGTGTGTGTGAGCGCGTGTAAGATATGTACGATGATAATGATGATGAATTGATGATGATGATTGTAATGATGTGGGGAGCGGCAGTGTAGCGGTTAGAGCGCTGCGCTACGAATCCGGCGACCCAAAACTGTTGTTGTTGTTGTTGTGTTTAGATTGTTGTTGTTTAGATTGTTGTCCTTCCCCCGCACCTCCGATTAGCAAGGTTGGCTACGTACGGTGCGAAAGAAGTTCAACATACTGCACATACATACCCGAGTTCGATTCCCACTCACGGTCAACACCAGTGACGATTATCTGAACTGGTCCTGGGCCTCCCCTAGGTCGACTCAGCATCAACTGAGTACCTGGTTGCGGTGTGTAGTAAACATCGCCACTGGGGAGACAAAGGCGGCCGGGCGTGGTGTTGGCCACTCAACCCATCGTGTGCCGTGCCGGTCTTCATAGGTGCTCGCTAACAGCACTTGCCCAAAGAGTCTGCTCAGGCTACACGGGGGATCTTTGTCTTTGTCTCTGCACGATTGTAAATGATGATTATGATTGTAATGATGATGATTTATTACTGTAATGATGAAAATTATGCTGCGAAACGTGGGTGGAATACAATTTTAATGTGAGCACATTGAAATATTTACAAATCCATCGATCGATTTTAGATTTAAAACCAGGTGAAGTGATTTGCAGCGTGTGTGTGTTTTAAGGCGTGTGTGCGTTTCTATTGAGTACGGTATATATATGTGTGTGCGTTTGTGTGTGCGCTGTATGCGTGTTCACGTGCATACATGTGCATGCGCGTGTGCGCCGCGTGTAAATAATGTTCAAGTAGATGCGTGTGTGCGTTCTGAACCTGCCCCAGAAGTTTGGCCTTTGTTTCATCCGTATGTATTAATGTGGCGCGCACGCGTGTGTATATGTATGCATGCGTATTGTGTAAGTTTGTGTAAGTTTGTGTGGTATATCCAAGCATGTGCCTGCATATATCGGCCGGATGCACACTCATGAACCGAGTTGACAAAGAACTGAGCTCTAACCCCGAAACCGACACAGATAAAAAAAAGCATCAAATACATCAACAACAACAACAAAATTAAATTCCCCGCAGACAGCATCACCGCAGCATCTCTGCGACCAACTCCGCGATTGAGGTAGCGTACACACACAACAACAAAGACGAAGATCCCCCTCGTAGCCTTGAACAGGCGATTTGGGGCAAGTGCTGTTAGCGAGCACCTATAAAGGCCGGGCACGGCAGACGAGGGGGTGGGTGGCTAGCACCACGCCAGGCCTCCTTTGTCTCCCCCGTGACAATGTTTACACAACGCACCGGGTACTCATTTGAGACTGAGTCGACCTAGGGAAGGCTCAGGGCCGGTTCATACTAATCGTCACCCGGTGTTGACCGCGAGCGGGAATCGAACTCGGGACGCCGGGTTCGTAGCGCGGCGCGCGAACCTTTGTGCCCCACTGCTCTCCACTCACACACACTTACACACACACTTACACACACACACTTACACACACTTACACACACTTACACACACACTTACACACACACACACTTACACACACACTTACACACACACACTTACACACACACACACTTACACACACACACTAACACACACTTACACACACTTACACACACACACTTACACACACACACACTTACACGCACACACTTACACACACACTCACACACACTTACACACACTTACACACACACACTTACACACACACACTTACACACACACACTTACACGCACACACCTACACACACACACTCACACACACTTACACACACTTACACACACACACTTACACACACACTTACGCACGCGTATTCACACCGCCGCATGTGACCTTCCTTAGCAGGGGAGTTCGTGAGGCTGCCTTTTGCCATGGAGGGGGGGGGGGTTCGTGATGCAAGGATGTAAATGGGGGGGGGGGGGCACGTGTCCAAACCCCCCCTCACCCCCCCCCCCCCCCCCACGTCAAACCCACCCACCACTCTTCGTAACCCCATCGTCTTCTCGGGTCTCTCCAGGGGGCCATGCGGAGCACCGGCGCAGTTGCACCGCCTGCGCACTTCAAAGCAAGTCACTGGCCGCTACTGCTGCTGAGAGACCTGAGCCGCAGGGGGTCTTGATGCACAACTGCAGACGAGAAGGCGGCAGCAGCGGCGGTGGCGGTTGCGGTGGTGGTGGTGGCATCGCAGTTGTGGTCGTGGTTGTCGCATTTGGCCGTGGCGGCGGTGGCGGCCCTCACAGGTGCCCGCTACTCGCTCGCAGCCACTTGCCCCAACAGTCTGTTGGAGGCCACACGGGGCTAGTATTGGGGGGGGGGGGGGGCTTTGTCTTTGTCCGCGGTGTGGCCGTGCGGAGCGGTAGGTTTGCGACCCGAGTTCCATCTCCCGCGCTCACGGCCAACGTGCGGCGAGGAATACCCGAACCTCGGTCCTGGGCCTCTCCTCGCTCGCCACGGATAAGTTTGGTCGCGAAAGCCCGACGCGTTGGGGGGTGGGGGGGGGTTGGTGGTCTCTGTCTTGGCTTTGCTGGAGGGCGGCAGGGGGTAGGGTGGGTGGTGGTGGGTGGGGGGTAGGGTGGAGGTGGGGGGGGGGTGAAGGGGTCATTGGAACTCGAGTGCCCACACGTGCTGAGGCCACCCCGTGCGTCCTTTGCTCTTCCTCTCGGCGCTGCTCGCCGCTCCGCGCTTTATCTCGTCCTGCTGCGCGCGGAGAGAGCCACAACAACAACAATAATAAACAAACATCTCGTGGCCGTTACACCACCACCCCCGCCCTGCCGGCCCGGCGCACAAAGACACAGGCAAAGATCACCCAGATAGCCTTGAGCAGGCTGTTTTGGGGAGGAGGGCAAGTGCTGTTCGCGAGTGCCATCGAACGGATGAGGCTCACAACGGCGGAACCGCGCCCCGGCCGTCTTTGTCTTCCGAGTGGAGTGGCGACGTTCATCTCAGACTGCAATCCGATGATCTGTAAAGCTCTTTTACCCATCGCACACCCAGGTACTTGACTCGTCATTCGAGTAGCCGGTGCGATGTCAACACACACACACGTAGATATACGCACGAGCAGATACACAGGTAATGATGCCTCGGTAGGCTTTGCCTGATACGATGGGGATGGTTTGGTTTTATTTGCATGTGTTTCTGGAGATTTGTTCACCATTCTTATATTTTTGCACTACTATTGTGCTTTTGTGCTATTGTTGTAACGTCCTTACCCCGTGCCCTCACTGGGCATCTGTGAAAAAATAGCTTTGTTGCTCATCGGATTCCTCCCGCAGTATAAATACATATTCTGATTCACTTAGATACGATAACTACAAGTTCATACACAAACATATCCATGCAGATACACACATATAGAAACACATACACACGTAAATACACATCTAGAAACACACAGATACACATAGGTACATAAGCATTAATCACAAACGCACACATACAAAAACACACATATATATACAAAGATCCCCCGTATAGCCATCAGAAACATTGTGGGCAGGTGATATTAGCGAGTAGCACCAATGACGGCCAGGATGGCACGGCACACGAAGGGGTGGGCGGACAACACCACTCCCGGCCGCTTTTGTCTCCCCAGCGCTGATATCTTACTGTACCGGGTGGCACTCATTCAAGGCTGAGTCGACCTATGAGAAGGCCCAGGACTGGTTCAAATATCTGCCAATTGTTGTTGGTTTGTGAGCGGGAATCGAACTCGTGTCGTCTGGTTTACAGTGCAGTGTGCTAACCACTACACCGCCGCTCTCCGTATAATATATTTCATACAAACACACACATGCAAGCATGTGCGTGTGTGTGTGTGATTAGTGTACTTGCCCCAAGAGTCTGTTAAAGGCTATATGGGAGATCTTTGTCTCTGTTAGGAATATCTCGTGGTGTTCCCATTATTGTTTGTCTAACAATTGCACTCCACCTGTGCTTTTGAGGATCACTCCGGGAAATTCTAAAACTCTCGCGTCTATGAGAAGACGGCCCTGGAGAAAATGACTTCAAAGAACTGCAACGTCACATAGATTTTTGTGCCACCCAGTCTAATAACCCGATGTGTCCTGACTTTTGGGCCACCCAGTACAATAACCCGATGTGTCCTGATTTTGGGCCACCCAGTCTAATAATCCGATGTTTCCTGACTTTTGGGCCAGCCAGTCTAATAATCCGATGTGTCCTAACTTTTGGGCCACCCAGCACAACAACCCATAACTACAACACCCAACAAAGAGCGACAACAAAACGACTAAACCCTCCACGCCATAACAAAAAAAACCACGCGAAAAGACACTTTTTGTCGTTGTCAACTGGACGTGGAAACCAGTTGAATCACGGTGATGAATGCCAACACCATCAATCCCCCGATGCTGTCACGGGCTTCCGCAGCAGACGTCCGTCTAACTCACGCGGCCACACAGCTCACTCATAGCTGGCAGCATCAGCAGCACGAGCAGCAGCAGCGGTGGTAGCAGCTATCGTGAGCCGATCCCCTCCCCGTTCGCAGACACGCTCAGCCAAAACTCAGAGGCCACCATAAATCTGGCTGTGTTTTGATTTCCTTGAGCCATCGGGCGCCCGTTGCAACAAACTCCATCGCCGTTAAAGCAACCCCCTCCCCCCCACCACCGCTTACGGAGAATTATCGCTGCAAGTCTCTATAGGTGTGGGGCAGCTTCTCCCACCCCCTCCCCCACAGCCCCCCACCCCCTCCCCCGCCAGGGGGTCACGGGGTCAATGTTAGAGTTTGTGCTCCGGACCGTGACCCAAGTGAGTAAACGCTTTTCTAGCGGTAAATCCAAGACGCCTCTGTGCATTTCCTCCGTCTAAGTTCGGCTACACGGGGGTCGTACGTGCGTACGTAAGCATCGTGTGTGTGTGTTGAACTTCTCTCGCGCCGTACGTAGCCGATCGGAGGTGCGGGGAGAAGGGCAAAAAATACTAAAACACACAAAAAGCAATTGGGTGGCGCCCGATTTGCGTGCCGTACACTTCCGGAGTGTGCAGAGACACAATCATAAATCAAATTTCGATTTAAAGCTTTCGTGACTGCAGGGATTCATCTTCTTGGTTCTTTCGGTAAAGTCACATAGAAGGGCAATAATAAAACAATAAAAATAAAACATAATAAAATAATTCCCACGACGTTTCGGCCACAACGCAAGCAAACGTCCTCAGGTGGAGAACAGGGCTGTCAAGAAGACAGAGTCTGAATGACACACCCCAGGCTTGGAGCGTCTATTTAGACCTGTTCTTCACCTGAGGACGGCTGCTTGCAGTTGTGGCCGAAACGTCGTGAGAATTATTTTATTATGTTTTATTTTTATTATTTTATTATTTCCATTCTACGTGACTTTACCGAAAGAACCAAGAAGAAAAATCATAAATCATTTAGTGGCCTCGACAAGTCACGGCTGGATAAAGGCCTCTCTCCGCGCCGTGTCGGTCGCGGGCGTCGTTCGACCTTACTTCGCCGCGCTGGTCAGCACACATCGACAGTGCTGAATACGATGTTTACAATAACGAGAAGCGAGCTCACCACAATATACACACACCTCCTTTGCGGAGGGATATCAAGCGTAAATAACCTCGCTCGCAACGGCTTCGCACATAAGACACATTCAGACTTACATAAGACACATTCAGACTTACATAAGACACATTCAGACTTACATAAGACCCGTAGATTCACAACCAAACCCACAGACTCACACAGAGAAACCCATCGACTCACACAGAGAAACCCACAGACTCACACAGAGAAACCCACAGACTCGCACAGAGAAACCCACAGACTCGCACAGAGAAACCCACAGACTCGCACAGAGAAACCCATAGACTCGCACAGAGAAACCCACAGACTCACACAGAGAAACCTATCGACTCGCACGGAGAAACTCACAGACTCGCACAGAGAAACCCATCGACTCGCACAGAGAAACCCACAGACTCGCACAGAGAAACCCATCGACTCGCACAGAGAAACCCACAGACTCACACAGAGAAACCCACAGACTCACACAGAGAAACCCACAGACTCACACAGAGAAACCCATCGACTCGCACAGAGAAACCTATCGACTCACACAGAGAAACCCACAGACTCACACAGAGAAACCCACAGACTCACACAGAGAAACCCACAGACTCACACAGAGAAACCCATCGACTCGCACAGAGAAACCCACAGACTCACACAGAGAAACCTATCGACTCACACAGAGAAACCCACAGACTCACACAGAGAAACCTATCGACTCACACAGAGAAACCCACAGACTCACACAGAGAAACCTATCGACTCACACAGAGAAACTCATCGACTCACACAGAGAAACCTATCGACTCACACAGAGAAACCCACAGACTCACACAGAGAAACCTATCGACTCACACAGAGAAACCCACAGACTCACACAGAGAAACCTATCGACTCACACAGAGAAACTCATCGACTCACACAGAGAAACCTATCGACTCACACAGAGAAACCCACAGACTCACACAGAGAAATCTATCGACTCACACAGAGAAACCCATCGACTCACACAGAGAAACCCACAGACTCACACAGAGAAACCCATCGACTCGCACAGAGAAACCCACAGACTCACACAGAGAAACCCATCGACTCACGCAGAGAAACCCATCGACTCACACAGAGAAACCCATCGACTCGCACAGAGAAACCCACAGACTCACACAGAGAAACCCATCGACTCACACAGAGAAACCCATCGACTCACACAGAGAAACCCATCGACTCACACAGAGAAACTCATCGACTCACACAGAGAAACCTATCGACTCACACAGAGAAACCCACAGACTCACACAGAGAAACCTATCGACTCACACAGAGAAACCCATCGACTCGCACAGAGAAACCCATCGACTCACACAGAGAAACCTATCGACTCACACAGAGAAACTCATCGACTCACACAGAGAAACCTATCGACTCACACAGAGAAACCCACAGACTCACACAGAGAAACCTATCGACTCACACAGAGAAACCCACAGACTCACACAGAGAAACCCATCGACTCGCACAGAGAAACCCATCGACTCACACAGAGAAACCTATCGACTCACACAGAGAAACTCATCGACTCACACAGAGAAACTCATCGACTCACACAGAGAAACCTATCGACTCACACAGAGAAACCCACAGACTCACACAGAGAAACCCATCGACTCGCACAGAGAAACCCATCGACTCACACAGAGAAACCCACAGACTCACACAGAGAAACCCACAGACTCACACAGAGAAACCCACAGACTCGCACAGAGAAACCCACAGACTCACACAGAGAAACCCACAGACTCACACAGAGAAACCCACAGACTCACACAGAGAAACCCATCGACTCACACAGAGAAACCCACAGACTCACACAGAGAAACCTATCGACTCACACAGAGAAACCCACAGACTCACACAGAGAAACCCATCGACTCACACAGAGAAACCCACAGACTCGCACAGAGAAACCCACAGACTCACACAGAGAAACCCATCGACTCACACAGAGAAACCCATCGACTCACACAGAGAAACTCATCGACTCACACAGAGAAACCCACAGACTCACACAGAGAAACCCATCGACTCACACAGAGAAACCTATCGACTCACACAGAGAAACTCATCGACTCACACAGAGAAACCCATCGACTCA